CACCGTGCTCTACACTGTACCAGCTGCCAGTGTGGTCGCCTGCCTCTTCTACGAGCAGCACAACCGGCCCCGCTGGGAAGCCACGCACAACTGCCCCTGCCTGCGCGACCAGCAGCCTGATCAGGCCCGCCGCCCTGACTATGCAGTCTTCATGCTCAAGTACTTCATGTGCCTGGTAGTGGGCATCACCTCCGGTGTTTGGGTCTGGTCTGGCAAGACCCTCGAGTCCTGGAGGGCCCTCTGCACCCGCTGCTGCTGGGCCAGCAAAGGTGCTGCTGGGGGCACAGGGGCGGGAGCAGGTGGGCAGGCAGCAATTGCCGCAGCAGGAGGACTTGGGGCTGGCGGTGGTGGCTCCCTCTACAGTGATGTCAGCACCGGCCTGACGTGGAGGTCGGGCACCGCCAGCTCTGTCTCCTACCCCAAGCAGATGCCCCTGTCTCAAGTGTGAGGTGGGGGAAAGAGGCCAAAGGTTAGGGAATGAGGGACACTGGCCTGCCTAAAATGCCCTCTCACTGTTTGGTGCCATTAATGAACCCCTAATGGTCCTTATTAGCCACAGCTTGTATAGAACAATGCAGCTGGCAGAGGCCCCAAGCTCCAGCCCCCTCCTCCTTCCCCTCCATTCATATGCAGGGAGCATGTACTTCAAGGAGCCAGCTTATTATTTTGCTGGCAGAGGAGGGTAGAGGCTCACCCGTGTCTTACAGAGGGCAAGGCACAGCGGCTTCTGAGCCGTTCTGGACTAACAGCAGCTCTTCGCTTGTGGGAGGGAGGATCTTCCTCCCTCTCCCATCCTGAGGCGGGAGTCTGCTGGGACTGCAGGTTTTTGGGATATCGATGACCAGGCAAATGCCTTACAATACAGACTGAATCAAAACATGTCTTAATTATACACCCCAGCTAAATACGGGTTTCCTACATTAAAGGATGTATTTATATAATTATTTGTTACCTTGTACAGATGTGTAAAATATGTATATATCCAAAGCTATACAGTCTGTAAATTTTTTTTTGTAAAAAAGTGTAGAGGCTACCCCTGTAAGAGCAAATATGAGTATTCTATTTTGTCAATAAAATGACTTTTGATAAATTACTTTTTCAAGCTTTTCCCCTACACCTGCCCTGGTTATTCCAGCTGCTGTGTCTTTAGGTAATTCTATAAACTAGGAACTGTTAAAGCAGTGAGATACAGAGACACAAGGAAAACAAGTCAGTTATTCTGAAAAAAAAACGTTTGCCAAAACAAAGAGGTGCTATAACATAGTTCTCTGCTTTTTGAAAGAGGACAGTGTCTTTAAACTGAGCCTTTAGAAAAGAGTCATCTCACATGGCATGTGAAGTATCCTTTTAAAATGGGTGTTATTTTAGGAATGTGCACACACACCTCTCTTACCTGTTGTCTACACTTCTGTAAGCACCTGCCTTTCCGGGGATGCATACCGAAGTGTAAAAGGTTAATGTTTTAAATTCATAGATCATGTACTACAGTGGAACAGCAAGTTGAGATTTGTTAGATCAACCTCTCCTTAACAGATTAAACCAACATCTTAACCTTTCATACTTAACTTTTGTATATCAAATATGGTCCTTTTTCAAGAGAAAAGGTATTGTTCTTCTGTCAGGACTAAGCTAATTTATTTGAGCAGAAGGCTGTTGAATTAACAGAAGAATGCTTTGGCAATTGTTGAACTTTTTACCTGTCTGCCCAGTGGCTCAGAACATCATTCCTTTAAGAGGAGCTAAATGAATAGGGTTAATCTGTAGGGAACTTGGTTTCTTTTGAGTTTGGGAAAACTTTGATCTTTTCTCTTCACCAAATGTGATGTATAGTCTGAAGTTTCTTTCCCTGCTGCCTGGTTCCTCTTGTTGCAGACCAATTGGCCACCATGGAGCCTTAAAGTTCTTCAATTAAAGGGACGTGGGACTTTTTTTTTTTTTTTTATTTTAAGAGGAAGACTTGTAACAGTTAGTGAACACCAGAGGGAAAAGGGAGAACAGCCTTTTAAACAGCTTTTCCCTGCATTGTTAGCCAGACTGCAGGCAGCAAGGCATGGCTTGGAGCATTATAGAAAAGAGCTATGAATGCCCTACAGGTGGTCTGCTCACATAATCTCCCCAATTTAAAACATTTTCCTTTACAGGACAATTGCATTACAAAACTCCCTTCTCTTTTGCTCCTAATTGAACCAAAGAACAACTACAAGATTTTCTTTAAAAACTGAGTATCTAAAAAAAAATTGAAAATCTATTAACTACATTCTAATCTGTTTTCTAAAATGGGATCGCTCAGTATACCAGAAGTAAAAGCTGCATTAGACATTATTCCAGATATTTTTATGCCTTTTGCTTATATTCTATCAAATTAGCAATCATTTAAAAGCAATTGGTTAGGTTGTGTGCTAGAAGTGAAAAGATAGCCCCAGGTCCCTTATTAACCTGTCAATCATGATAAGAGATGGGCAGCTACCCTACTAATGACACAGATATCAATCATGATTTGTGGGAAAAAGCTTGTTCCATTGAGCACTGACTTGATTATTGGTGTCCTTTTCAAAGATCTCATAACTTAATAGACTCCTCCACTTCTACAAAGTTACTGGGATCATGAAAAGGAGGAATTTAAAATGCCAATCTGTAACTCTGGAGGGAAAAATAATTTTAACTTTTGAAATGCAAAGGATGTTCCACTGGGATTTATCCTATTTATATACCAGTTGGCTAGGATCATAATATTGATACACCTATAAGCTGAAAAGGCCCTAGTGTTTTACTGTATTGCTGGAAACACTTTTTAACAGTTGCTGAAACATTTAAATCAACATGTCATTTTTCCCTGCTGTCAGTGGGGCTAAGGTAGAAGTCTTCTTCCTGCTGGGGAACCCTCACGTATGGAAGCATAACCGCTTCTTCAGATAAAAATCTGTATTCCTTCCCCTCCAATAGGTTATAGTAAGGAAGACCAAGGGGAGGTACAGCCACAGCTATTCTGTGAGAATTGGTTTAGATAGGTCTCTCGCAGACCACTGGTACAGGTTGCTAGTGCTGAGATAAAAGCATTTCTAGTAAAAGATAGGAAGTGTCCTACTGGCTTAACCTACCCTGGAATGAAGGTAGGATACCCCCTTAACCTGGATACTAGATATCCAGTATCCTGTGGCTTAACCTACCCTGGAATGAGCGAAGAGGTCCTGCAGGTGGACTTAGTCAGGAAGGCAGTCTCAGAGCTGGTTAGGTTAACAGGATGCCTGCTTTGGCATTTGGAAGCGACTGAGTAATAATGCAAAGGCTGAACAAATAAAAGTGAGACAAAATTCAAATTGCTAGAAACACAGAACTAGGGAAACGGTGCTAAAAGAGTTAATTTACAAGTGCAAATTTATGTGAATCAACGTAAAACTTGTGTCTAGGGAAAAAAATATCCGAAAACCCAGCAGCAAGGCATTGAAGTACATAAGAAATAAAAATCCACGGCTACACAGAACTTCACATTATTATGATACCCTTTATCAGACTTTAAAGATAAATTTGCTATGAAGATCCAAAATACATCAGTAAGGTGGTAGGAGTTACACGTTACCTTTCAAGGTCTGATGATAAAATACCTTTTCCCTAAATTTGCCAGAGAGCTACTAAAAATAGTCCAAGCAGACCCGTGGCCCAAGCCCTTGCCTGCGGAGCAGGAGTGCCCTCGGCATCCCTACTGCTGTAGGCTCACCCGTGGGCAGGGGCAGCACCCACACACCCCAGCAGCCACACCAGCTCAGGAGAGCTATGGGAAAGCTTTATTATCACTGATGCAGCTCCATAGCATAACTTGTATAGCAACCTTTGGAGAGCTGGATAAATGGCAAATAAGAGCCTCCTGCACCTCACAGAAAGGTCTAACTACCTGCTCCGTTCAGGAGAGTGACTAAGCTAGCAGAGAAACATGGTTCGGGATTTTTTTTTTTCTTTTCTAGTAAGCAACATACCTTTAGAGTGTTCCTTTTCTTTCCAGGACCTCTCCCTGCTTTACATGTTCCTGTTGCAAAAGGAAATCCTATGGATTATTCTCTTCCTGCTGTAACAACCGAATAATCCCATAGCCTCTAAAGGAGGTGACCCAGCTGCCAGTGGGCCTTTCGAAGAGAGGCAGAGCAGCACAGGTGTGCTGCAGAGCCCTCAGGAGGGACCCTGTACCCCTCCTGGGCCCGGCTGCTGGGTCCCAGGGAGCTGCCTGGGAGTGTCCTGCAACCTGCTGCAAAGTTTTCCCTGTGCAGGAGAAGCTTCCCTAGAGCTTTGATAACCGGTCATGCAAGCAAAGGATCTTCGAATGGGGAAATTCTTATATATTGAAATAATATAAATGTGGCCAAGGTTTCTGGGAAGGCTATGAAGGCTAAGAGTGACACACAAGGCTTCTTTTTTCCTTCTTTCTTACACAATATTTTAAAATCAAAGTATTAGGATGCTCACCCATTAGAGTTCTTCAAATGTGCTTGACTAGTACTAAAAGGTCTCCCAGGTGAGGTGAGAAAGCTGGAGGCAGAGGCGCCTCTGTGTGCACACTACTCACAGTGTGCTTCACCCCAGCTTGAGAGCCCAGGTTCTTTCCAGATTCACTGAGGCAGACACCTCACTAAAAATCAACAACAGTTTCCCACAGGAGGAAACCAGTACTAAGAGGCTGTTGTGGTTTAACTCATCAGGCAGCTAAACACCACACAGCCATTTGCTTCCCCCTGCCAATGGGATGGGGGAGAGAATCAAAAAAAATAAAGGTAAAACTCATGGGCTGAGACAAAGACAGCTTAATAGGACAGAAAAGGAAATAACAACAACAACAATAACAATAACAACAATAATAATAATAACAATAATAATGATAAAAACAAGTGATGCACAATGCAATTGCTCGTCACCCTGCTGACTAATGCCCAGCCAGTTCCCCAGCAGTAGGTGCCGCCCCCTTGGCCAACTCCCCCTCGTTTTATTCAGCATGATGCCATATGGTATGGAATATCCCTTTGGCCAGTTTGGGTCAGCTGTCCTGGCTGTGTCCTCTCCCAACTTCTTGTGCACCCCCAGCCTCCTTGCTGGCAGGGCATTATGAGAAGCTGAAAAGTCCTTGACTTAGTGTAAGCATTGCTTAGCAACAACTAAAACATCAGTGTGTTATCAACATTATTCTCCTTCTAAATCCAAAACACAGCACTATACCAGCTACTAGGAAGAAAATTAACTCTATCCCAGCCGAAAGCAGGACAGAGCCAAAGCAGAATGCCCAAATTTAAAAAGGAATCAGTAGCTAAGAAAGAAATACCAGAGTCCCTGGGAGAAAGCCAGGTCCACTCTGAACTATGAAAACTTCAATACAAGTAAGATAACGGTTTGATCCCAGTGACTGTGCTCAACATACTTCTTTCACAAGTGCAGTGCAGAAGCCAAACCCAGCCTGCTCAGTAAGTTAACCCTCTTAACCAATAAAGACATGGACTTTCATATGGGATAGACAGGCCACCTAATATGGGCAAAAAGCGAACTGGTGATAATGAATGTTGAAGAACAACCAAAGATGCTCCTGGAGGATCAGCTCACCTACTGTCAAGATCATGCTGGAGGAAAGCTCAATGTGGGCCAGACAAACCAGCTTGTAGCATCACAACCAGTTTCCAAAGTGCCTGTTACGACCTGCCTGTAGCATACCCTGCTCCTGTGCCCCATTTCCAGAGCCACATGGCCTATGTTTCTCTAGACATACACTTCTTCCATTCCCATCTACTGCGGCCTACTCAGCTGCTGGCCCAACAAGGAAGCAAGTGAGGAACAATCTCTCTCCATTGCCCATCCTGGCTATCCCTCTCTTTTTATCCTGCATAACAAAACTGACTGAAAAGATAGCACACCTCTTCCTAGAATTAAAGAGGCTGGGCATCAAAGGTCACCCTGAAAGCAACAGCATAAACCTAAGAAGAATAAGGAAAGTGATTTACAGATGGTGGTCCAACGAAGAAATATTAAACAGGACAGACTCTCTACGTGTGGTCATGATGAGTTCTAGGCAACCTTTAAGAGAACTCAATTAGAAATGTTCAGACAGCTTTATTTAAGC